TCTGCAGGCTCCACAGGGCAGCAACCCCCTCACCACTCCTCCCGCATCAGTGCACGCTCAGCCCCCCAACCTGCTCCTTCCTGGGCCCTCTCCCCAGCCCCCCTACCCCCATTCTCTGCCCAGCCACCACCAACTCCAGGGCACACAGACCAAAACCATCCTGGGTTCCTCCTCTCCCTCACCTCCCTCCACCCCCACGCCCCACCCCTGACCCAGACCCACCCACCCTACCCCCGCAGCCCCTCTCCCACCAAGCAGCCAGAGCACGCTCTATAAACCTGACTCTATACCCCCTGCCCCGCTTCAACCCACCAGCATCACCAACTGAATGCAGAACAAAACTGAGGCAGAGCCAGGGCCTCCAGAGCCGTGTTGCTGGCCCTGCCTATCTCAGCCCCTGCCCCTGCCACATTGACTGAGCTTCTGTCGCACAAAGAAATCACAGGCACTCTGGCCTTAGAGCCTTTGCACGTTCCCTCTTCCTTAAAGCTCCACCCTGAGCTGCTGTTTCCCACTCCAGTCGCCTCCTCCTCTGCCCACCTACAGCAGGCCCTGGGAATCCGCACGCCCGCCCCTGTCCGGCATGGTTTACTCAGGGGTCAGCAAGCATTTTCCATAAAGGACCGAAGAGTGAGTATTTTCCACACCATGGCTATAAGGCCTGTCTCAAGATTCAGCTCTGCCACTGCAGCGTGACAGCAGCATGGACAACCTGTGAGTGAGCAGGTGTGGCCATGTGCCAATAAAACTTCAGTGACAAGCTGGCGGTGGCCAGAAGTTGTTCAGGGGGCCACAGACTGCAGCCCCTGGTCTTATCTGTGTGCCCCACCCCAGCCCCACCAATCTGAGAGGCCAGAGGGCAGTGCGGGAATCCCCTGGTCAGGGATGTGACTGCCCCAGGCACCCAGAACCCCTGGGGCCCACAGCAGGCGTTCAATGAATGTCCAGTAAGCACTGGTGAAGGACTGCGAGGCAGGTATACGTGCTCATGTGCTCACGTGCCCTGGGCCCCACGGCACACCCTAGCTGGTGTCGGGCTCCACAAGAAGCAGTTTATGGCGGGCAGCCCCTTTGCCTTGCATGTGGACCAGGGGAGGGAAAGCCCCAGCACTCACCTGGAGTCGGCTACACACCAAGAACCCTTCTAAGGGCTCTGCGCCTCCATTCACTCAGTCCAGCCCCACAAGGAAGGTATGATCAACAAGTCTACTTCACAGACGGAGACACTGAGGTGGACCGTCCCCGGCTGATAACAACGGTCCAGCCTCCAAGGCCTCTCCCCAGGGCAGACCAATGCTGCCAGTCCAAGTGCCTTAGGTCACATTCCTAGAAAGTGGCCAGTGTGAAACTCACACTGGGAGCTTCCTGTCCCCTAAGGCTACAACTCATTCTCAGTGAGGGGTGCTGCAATCCCTGGCTACCATTCGCCCACAGCTACAGAGGCGGTGTCTAGTGGTGCTGCCTACCCCACCCGAGGCATGCTAGCCCTCCTGTTCTTCAAGTATACCAGGCCTTTGCTTGCACTGTGCTGTCGTCCTACCCCTCTCCCAGGCCTCCTTCAAATATCCCCATGCAGGAGGAGGTATTTCAGCAAAAACCTGAAAGAGCTAAGGAAGCAAATGACACAGATATGAAGGACGAGTGTTCCAGGCAGCGGGCATGGGTCATGCAAAGGCCCTGGGGCAGGACTCTGTCTGGTGTGTTGGAGAAACTGTGAGCCCCATGTGGGCAGAGCAGAGCGGTGCAGAGCGAGTAATGAGGAGAGAGGGAGGAGATGAAGGCGGGAAGAGGATGGCAGCATGTCATGCAGGGCCATCTGAACCATGGGCAGGACTTGGGCCTTTACTTGGAGGAAGCTGGGAGTCCTGGAGGTTGTGGGCAGAGAAGGAATGGAATCTGAGTCACTTTTTAAGGGGAGCCTTCCGAAGTGAGCTGCTGGGAGCATGTGAAGCGATGGGGCCGGACTGGGTGGACACAGAGGAAGGGGAGAAGTGGGCAGATTCTGGGCCCATTCTGAAGGCAAAGCGGACATAACTGGCTACCGGATTAGATGTAGGAGGGTTTGGGAGGCCTGGGAAGAAGCTGACTGTTGTGAGATACCACGGGAACAGGAAGGACAGCGGAAATGGCTCTGCAACGGCAGACCACAGCTCAGCCCCGAAGCCCACCACAGCTGGCCCCATGAAAGTGTCCAAGCCCCCAGGAAGGAGGTGCCCACACAACCCCCAAAAGCCAATGAAGAATCCCATTAGGCCTTCTCTGGACCAGGGCTCAGAAGCCCAGGCATTTAAAGTAACCAGATTCTAAACACCAACGAGATATCCGTTTCACCTCCCATCAGATCGGCCAAAATGACCAAGCTGATAACACCAGGAGCCGGCAACGCCGTGAGAAGACAGACAGTCTCTCTAGAGAGACTGTCTGCACCTTCCTGGGAAGCCGTTGGGTATCTGAGAGTCATTTTTCAATCTGCTGGCCCCTGACCCAGCCACCCCAAGGTGGGACTCCAGTTTGTAGGGACTGAAGCACCCACATTCAAAGACAAGCTATTTACTGCCTGTAACAGCAAAAGGCAACTCCAGAAACAGCCTGAATGTCCATCAGCAAGAAGCTGGTGAATCAGCGATGGCTGGTGCCTGGGGCAGCTGTCGCTGACGTTCATCAAGCACTCTCACCCCATGTCACAGATGCAGACACTGAGGGCTCAAAGAGGATCAGGCATTTGCTCTTCAGGGGAACCCAGGCAGTGAGACACTGGGGTTCCGCCCTCTGGGCCCACAGTGCAGTATTCTCTCTCTGAAAAACTAATTGACACCAGCATGGAGGAAAAAATCCAGACTATTACCCATTAAAAGCAAGCAAGTTACAAAATAACAGGTACAGTGCAGTGGCTCTCCCCCAAGGTGACTATCTCCAGGGGACGCTGAGCCGTATCTGGGACGCTCAGTCACAACTAGGGGAAGAAACTCCTAGCGTCGAGTGGGTCAGGACCAGGGATGCTGCTCAACACCCTCCAGTGCCCAGTGCAGCTCCTTAAAACAAAAACTTTTCTGCCCCAAAAAGTCAATAGCGCTGAGAGGAGAGATCAGGGTGCAGCATGAGCCATCCCAGCAAAGGACATGCAGACCCATTTATGTGTTTACAAATTCATTCGGCAGTAGGGAGAGTGTGGACAGCTATTACCCAAACGTCACAGAACTTAAGTCAAGAGAAGTGGGTTTGGAGGGGGAGAGGCAGCTCTTTAAGGAGAGTAAAATAAGTAATTTGCTGGGGAAGGCAGATTTCTGTGGATTTCAGTGACAGGCAGGGAAGGTCAGCCAATATCTTCCAGGCCCCATGCTCAGACCCAGCGAGAGCCAGGGGCTGGGACTTTATCTGTCCCCAATCGGCTCGCCCGGCCCTTGATAAGACAAATGTTTGCTCTGCAGCCTTCCAGTGGTCACTTAATCTTCAGCTATTTTGTCTCTAACCAGCCAGGCCAGAGGGCGGATGATGGAGATTAGCGGGCTGAGAAAGAACCTCGTTGGGGCCCCTCAACCATGCACGGTGCTACTCTGGCAAAGGCAACAGCTGAAAGAAGGCGAGGAGACTGGATGGTCGGAAGGAAACAGGTCATCTACCAGACGGTTCCAAATGGCAGCGGGAAAGGAAGCAGTGGGAGTCTTCCGAAGCACAAGCTTTATATCCTCTCTCCCTACCCCCCCCCCCCAACCTCTCCCAACTCCCAGGCAGCAGAGCATCTCCCTGACTGCCAAGAAAGCTTCTGGAGGCCTGGGGGAGAAGGGGGATGGATGCCCATGTGGGTGTCTATAGGACTCCACCCACAAGGGCTGCTTGGGAGGAGCACTGGGTTCTTTAGATCAGGAAACTTCCTATTTGGAGAGCTTGTGACCTCAACTGAGAAGGAACCACAGTGGCTCTGTACTCCACCCCAGGAAAAGGCACGCCGGGAGCTGGTGGGTCTAGGCAAGGCTTACTTGTTCCCCACACCTGCTCTGCTGGAGGGCAAGAAAGGCAGGCCAAGAAGAGGGGCACCATAAAGCAACAGCCCTACATGGCTACAGCAGACCCCTGTGTCCAGGGAGAAGGATTAGAAGGGCCTACTCTTCCCAGGTCTGCTTAGAAACCCCTGACATGAAAGGTGCCTTGAGATGTCATGCCCTTAGCCCCCTCCTGAGAGAGGAAGGTAAACTAAAGCTCAGCTAGGGAAGAAAAGGATGGTGCCCCAGAAACTGGGTCTAGTGACTTCCACAAAGAGAGATAAGATAGTCAGGAGGCTGACCCAGATGGCCACAAAGACCCTCTCTCCTCCAACCCACTTGCCCCTGGCCTTCCCAGCCAATAAGATGTGCCCATAGGGGTGACCATTTGTGAAGGGAAGGGGTGAGGCCAGGAAGCGGATACCAGCAAGGTGTGTGGCCCAGAAAATGTGTCCAGGCAAGAGGGCACATTTGAAACAGTTTCACCCCCTGTCATGCCCCACCTTGGAGACACGGCCCCCTCAATGGAACAGGGGTACTTCACCATTCCACACTCTCAGAGCAACCCAACCACACCAAGACTGAAGGGCCGTCGTCCCCGAACGCCCTCAGCAGGAGGCGGAACACTCATCCACCACGCGTCCTAAGTGGGGGGGGGGGGGTCTTCCCCGCACGCTTTCAAAGCAGGATGCTCCACCCACAGCCTCTCAGAATAGGGCCTTGCACCCACTCCCGCCCCCAGGCCTGCGCCCCCAACCAAGGGATCCCCGAAATAGGCGGTGCCACTCCAAGCCCCCAGGTGGAGCGTTCCAGCCTCCCTCCCGCCCCGGGCGGAGAGTCCCCCAACCCGGGCGTAGAGTGTTCCATCCCCCCGCGAGCACCCCTGAGTGGAACGTTCCGGTGTCCCCGCAGCGGGTCTCGACTACCCCCAGTACTTGGACGGGACCACTGGGCCCCAGCAGAGGGGACAGGCGGGTCCATTCCGTGAGAACCAAGGGACGCGAGGTCCGGAACCGTTACCTGACGCCGCGCTGCTCTCCGCAGTCCAGGTCACCTCCGAGGTCACGGTCCCCTCCTCGGCGCTCTCCGTCTCGTCCGGCACTTCCAGCTCCATAGCCACGCACGCGGACCGACTAGCGAGCGGGCGGCCGGAGGTTACAACCCAAGCAGCGGCTGCCGCCGCTGAACAACAACCGCCGCCGGCTGCAGGGCGGAGGGAGGGAGGGAGCCGAGCCCAGGGACAGAGGGGGAGGGCCCCGGACGCGGCCAGTCGCTGCGCCACGGCGCACCGCGCCTGCAGCCTATTGGAGCTCGGGGGCGGGGCCTAAGTGCGCCCGCGGGAGTGCCTCGAGCGCCCCCACGCATCCATGGTGTGGAAGGGCAGCACCATTCCAGTCAACACTGCAATAGTACTATTATTATACAGGAAATAGAAATAGTTACAACTAATACATTACTTACGACTACATTACAAGCAACATAAACTACTGTTAAATGTTTTAATATGAGCAGTAATTGTAATATAATAAAGTGTAGTTTTCATTATGCACAAATATAAATTATGTGATATTATTGATAGAGGTATTATTCAATAAAATGAATGCATTATTATATAAGTAATATTGATACTTAGTCCTGGCTGGTGTGGCTCAGTGGGTTGAGCACCGGCCTGCAAACCAAAGGGTCACTGATTTGATTCCCAGTCAGGGCACATGCCTGGGTTTCCGGCCACATCCCCAGTAGGAGGTGTGTGAGAGGCAACCACACCTTGATGTTTCTCTCCCTTTTTCTCCCACCCTTCCCCTCTGTCTAAAGCTAAATTAATAAAATATTTTTAAAAAATATAATGTAATAATATTATATATAATGTTATTTATAATATAATGATAAATATACATAATAATATTATTAAATGCTAGTCTCAGAGCTAAAACCTTTACATGGGATATCTCCATAAGTTAGAGATCTGTTTTCTTACCACTAATATACTCCCAGCATCTAACACAGAACCTTACACCTAGAAAACAATAAATATTTGATAATATTAGTCAAGCAGATGAAAACTATTATCACCCCCAGCAGGAGCTTAGAGAATCATGCAAAGAACCATGCTCTGAATCAGTGTTGTTTATATGAAGAATAATTGTGTTACTATTGTTATTAAAGTCTACTGGTGAATTTATTAATGGCATGATTGGGTGGTTGTTAATTGTGAGGTCATGATTTGGGAAGTAATAGATGCTGCTAATTGTAGTTTTACTCATAACTAATGATCTCCTCTGTGGGAGTGCCAGGCACCCCCCTAGTGAGGGACAGAGCTGGGAGGTTTTCACCCAGGCCTGTCTAGTTCCAGGGACATGGCTCCTCCTCATTGACTAGGGTGCCGGGGAGGCGTCACCCGGGAGTTTGGTAGAGACGCAGAATCTCGTGTCCCACCCCAGACCTCCTGCATCAGAAACTCTGAGTGGGGCCCCGTCATCTGGGTCTCAGTGAGTCCCTGAGACAATCCGAATGCCATAGAGAGTCTGAGAAGCACCAGTTCAGACAACCAGAGGACTGGGGGTGGGGTCAGTTGTAAGGGTCACGAAAATGAAAGAATTTTTTTTTTAAATCAACTTCAGCACTGATTCTAAACCTCTCCTGGTGGGAAGTCAATATAAAACTGAAAAATCAAGAAGTGGCAACACAGGCATTATTTGGAGATGAGGAAGTGAATGTCAACATGATTTAGCTTAAAAGAAGTTAAGGGGACAGAGCCTCCAGGAAGGGAGAAATTGGGGGGTGACAATGCCACTTGGCTAATTTTAACAAACCTGAATTAGAAGTCGACTTTTTAAAGTGCATGTGTGCAAAAAATTTAATTAAAAAAATGAAAATGTAAAAAGACAAAACCAAACCAGTACCAGAATGTGAGACAGGAATGTACAGGCAGAGAATGGGGCCTGAGTGGAGCCCCAGCTTCTGGATCTGTCTTTTTTTTTTTTTAAGATTTTATTTATTTATCTTTAGAGGGAAAGGAAGGAGACAGGGAGAGAAATATCAATGTATGGTTACCTTTCATGCGTCCCCTGCTGGGAACTGGCCCACAACCCAGGCACGTGCCCTGACTGGGGATTGAACTGCTATCCTTTCATTCGCAGGCCCAGCTCAATCCACTGTGCTGCAGCAGCCAGGACCGGATCTCTTGATTCCAGTTTTACAGGGCGGAAAACTGAGGCTGCCTGGCTGGAGCCAGTTGCCTGGTTTCTGGCGCCCTCTCGTGGGTCTAGAGACTGTTACCATCAGCACTAGGTACCAAGTACAAAAGAGACCCAAGTGTCTTCCATCCCCTTTCCTACATTCCTTTCATCCATTCATTCATTCATGCCACAAATATTTATGGAGGACTTACTGTGTACTAGACACTGTTCTAGGTCATAGGGATACAAGAATGAGCAAGACAAAATCCCTGACCTCAATAAGGTGACATTCTAGAAGAGACAGATAAAGGAGCACACACAGCAGGTAATTTCAGCTGCTCATAAACACTTTGAAAATAACACTGATGTGTTCAAAAAAGACAGGCTCAATATCCACTATGCATTAAGCACCTATTCCAGCACTGCCCAAGAGCACTACAATGCAAGGCAATTTAAATTTAAAATCCAAAAGGTTATTTAAAATTTTCCAGTAATCACAATTTAAAAAGCAAAAGAGAAACAGGTGAGATTACTTTAACGATATACTTCATGTAACCCAACATATCCGAAATATTATCATTTCAACCTAGAGTGGAGATTCAAAATAACAAGCTGTCTTCTGGAGGTACTGCATCTTGCAACCCCAGCATGTATTTTAACCACACATCATTCATTGGGACCAGCCATCTGAGGGCTAGCAGCTAGAAGGTGCAGACCTACTGTGTGCCCTGTCCTGTTCTCAGCACTTTATGGGCACTCACTCATTTACTCAACTCTTCAAACCTTCCCTCCACCTAGGATGTAGATGCTAGTGTTTCCCCTATTTTTTAGATGAGGAAACAGAGGAGACCCAAAGCTCCCCAGCTGGGAAATGATTGAAGATTCTCCACATAGGAATCTGGCTGGTCACTTTGTAGCACAGAGACAGAATTTGCTCTCAGATCTGCAGAGCGAGAAGAAACCAGCCCTGCCACAACCTACCAGACAGCACGCCTGGTGGAAGGCACAGCAAAAGGCTTGGCAGTTCTGGCTATAAAAGGAGCAGAGGGGAGAGGGGGCTAGCTAGGAGGAGCTTCATTTATTTATTTCTTAATTTACTCAACAAACCTTTCTTGAGGACCTGCTTCCATGTGCTGGTCCCACTGTGGATGTCAAGGACCCAGGGGTGAATGGCACACACAGGGCAGGACCCAGCGTCCCTGGCCTCCGGGTGAGCAAGGGTTAAGGCCAGCTGCTGCCACGTGAGAGCACCTTACGACAGAGCCACACACCCAACCAGCCTCCCTGCCTCTCTCATACTGCCAGTTTGCCTGTGCTTGTCGCGCGTTGCATGTTGCTGCGCTGGTTCCACCTGGCACGGGACCTGCTAGCCTGTTGCTACCACAAGGGAGGAAAAGTTGAGCAAACAGGTGGGGAGGCCGGAGCTCAAACCTCAGGTTCCCTCCCCACCCCCATGCCAGGCGAGCACCCAGGCCTCGGCTCCTGCTGCCAGCCCAGAGGCAACTCAGCCTCCTAGACAGGTAAGTCCCTGCTCTGCCCACCATCCTGAGACCCTGGCTGGGACCAGAGTCCTCTCTGTGGGCACCCAGGATCCCAGATCACCTCCCCCCAACTCCCCGGAAAGCAGGAAACTGACTCTCCTGTGTGGGCATTTGACATAGTTTCTAAAGGATTATCTGGCTGGCAGTTACAGCCTTTGGCAACCAGCCCAGGACGCCAGAGCCAGGACCTAAAAGGGTCATTGTTGGCCCAGGTGGTGCCAGGGGGCCAAAGGGGCACGGGCTGGCCTCTTTGGTCCTCCAAACCAAGGATGGGAAGTCGGGCAGGGAGGTGGCAGGTGGGCAGCCTGGCATTTGGTCAATGTGGGGGCTCCCTGGAACTTTTGAAGAGGCCCCCCGATTCTTCTGACAACTGCATGACTTCCCACCACCGCCCAAACCTGCAGGAGCTGGGGAAGCAGTCAGGGAAGTGGGTCCTGGGGTCAGCCGCCTTACCTTGTTTCCCTAGATTCCTTCTCTGGGTAAAATCTCTGGGCAGTGAAGTGTAGAAGGGGGCGGGAGCGAGCCAAAGGTTGTCACAACAGTTCCCAGAGTGGTCTGCGGGCAAAGAGCCAGGATGGTCTCTGGGCAAGGGAGCCTAGAACTAGAGAGGAGAGGGGTCCGTGGCAAGACGTTTTTCTGGGTCATTTGCTCTCAGAAGTACAGGACAAAAGGAGCTTCCTGGGACCCAGTGTCTGATTGCACCTCAAGTCTCTTTGTCCGGGACCAAGTGCGTCCCTGGAGGCTGGGGCTGGGAAGGCATGGGCACCTGAGGTGAGGGGCGCCGGGCAGGCCTGGTATTTGGGATCACCCCAGGGCACCGTAGGCACGGAGCTCTCAGGGAGGACAGAGGCTTGAGATTTGGAGGGTTGTGGGATTGGAGGGAACACATCTGGACTGAGACAGCCTCCAGCCATTTCTCCTGTCTGGACCTCAGTTTTCTGCTCTGTAAAATGGGTGTAAGACCCCCCACCATGTAGCAGGGCTGCTGAGAACAGTATATGATAGGGCTGGTAATAGATGCTCAGTCCTGTGGGGGTCATGGGGAAAGGAATCCCAGTCAAAAGCAGGCCTCAAAATGTCGAGTCAGCTGCTTTCCTGTTTTATAGAGGTCAAACCCTGGCTCAGAGAGGGGCAGCCACTTGCCCAGGGCTGCACAGTAAAGTAGGGCCATTGGGCAGGTAGACATCAAATGTAGACAGCAGGGAGGTCTGGGTGCTGCCCATGCCCCCTGACCAAAGCCCCAGGCTCAGCATCTTGTAAAAGTCCTTCCTGCCTCCCTGGTTCAGTGCTCAAGAGGCCCTCTGAGTTCTGGGGAAAGTTCACAGTGGAGAGTGTGGGCTCCTGTTCTTCCTTCTTGGCCTGGCCTGGTGCCCAGGGAGTGGTGTTTGCTCAGGGTGGAGCCTGATACCCTTTGGAATGGGCTGAGATTGGTGGGAGATGTGACCGGGAGGAGGAACTGCCCAGGTCCTGAACCTGCATTTATGGAGCACCTACTGTGTACCAGGTGCTATTCTGGGCTTTGGGGGTTCAGCAAAGGTCCCTGATCTTGTGGTAAAGGAAGAGAGAGAAGAAGCAAGAGACATAATAAGGACAAACTATATTCTAAATTGTATCCTGGGTCAGAGGGAGGTCACTCTCAGAGGGAAAAAGAAGTAAAAGAGGTACAAGTAATAGGGATGAAACAGGCGGGAAGGCATTTTACAATTTTTAAAAAAAAATCCTCACCTGAGGATATGTTCATTGATTTTCAGGGAGAGAAGAAAGGCGGGGGGTGGGGGAGAGGGAGAGAAAGGAAGAGAGAGACACCGACGTGGCGCCTGCTGCGGGTGCTCCAACCGGGGTCCAAACCGCAACACTTTGGTGCTTGGGATGACGCTCCAATCTACTAAGACACCCGGCCAGGGTGTACTTCGCAATCTTAAAGATTCAGGAGAATTCATTTGAGCAGACTGGAAGGCAGCACTTGGGGCTTTCCAAGCAGAGGTAACATCCTGTGTAAAGGCCCCTGGGGCGGGACCTTGCCTGGAACAGTGAGCAGGAACAGTGGTTGGAGCAGAGTGAGTGACCCAGGGAGGAAGTGAGGGCAGGGAGGGGATGGGGGCAAGACAGATAGGGCCCTGTGGGCCTTGGGAGGACCTGGGCTTTTACCCCAAGAGGAGGTGGGAGCCCTGGAGGGCTGAGATCAGAGGAGGGACTAGGCTCATCTCAGGTGTTCACAGGTGTCCTCTGGTGGCCGTTGGGAGCACAGACTGTGGAAGCAGAGGGCAGGAGCCGCGGGACCAGGGCTGAGTTGACTGCCAGGGTCCAGGTGGGGAATGATGAGACTGGACCAGGTGGAGGCAGAGGAGAGGGGAAGAAGTGGGAAGATTCCGGAAAGGTTTGGGTAGAACCACAGCCTTTGCTGATAAAAAGACTGGGGTCTCCGGGTGATGAGTAAGAAAAGTGGGAGGAATGTTCTGGGGCTCAATGGGTGAGTAGAACAAGTAACTGGCAGGTAGGTAGAAATCGGAGGGGGAGCCTTGGGTGCCAGTATGGAGCCTCTTGGTGTTACAGTGTTAAAGGATTTTTTTCAAAAGTTAAAACATAACTCACGCTAATATAAAACGAAGAGGTGATCTTGGTCGGGTAGCTCATTTGGTTAGAATGCTGTCTGATACGCCTAGGTTGTGAGTTCGATCCCCCAGTCAGGGCACATACAAGAATCAACCAATGGCCCTGGCTGGTGTAGCTCAGTGGATTGAGCGCAGGCCGTGAACCAAAGGATCGCAGTTCGATTCCTAGTCAGGGCACATGCCTGGGTTGCGGGCCAGTTCCCAGCAGGGGACGCACGAGAGGCAACCATACATTGATATTTCTCTCCCTCCCTTCCCCTCTAAAGATAAATAAATAAATAATTTTAAAAAAAGAATCAACCAGTGAATGCATCAGTAAGCAGAACAACACATCAATGTTTCTCTCTCTCAACCTCTCTTTCTCTCCCTTCCTCTCTCTCTCTCTCAAAAATCAATTAAAAAACAAGGTGCTTTATGAGTTTACTTAACTCATTAATTAATGTGGGAACCAGTAAGCTTTTACAGCCTGTTCAAGAAAAAGTGTAAAGAAACATTCTTGACACAGGGCATCGAGAGTGCTGAAATGAATTTACAAATAAATTCAAAACTGGTCAGTAGTCACAGGGCAGTAATCTGTGGTCTCCACAGGGCAATGTTAATTTGCATTTCCATGGACAAGAACCATCTGCAGCACCACTGGTTTCCTACCATTTACAGGGCTGTGAAAGGTTGGTAGTGATAACAAGCACAGAGGACTTGGGAGAATAGCCGGAGTCTGGCATTAATCAATTTCTCAATAAACATGCTTTGAACAGATGCCAGGGAGCCATGGAAGGTTTTCAAGCTAAAGCCACAGCTCATTCACTGCACATTCGTCAGTGGGACTGTTTGTTGAAAGTCTGCTCTCTCTGCTGGTCTGTGAGCTCTATCACTGTAGCATCCCTGGCGCCTAGAACAGTGCCTGGTATGCAGCAGACGCTCAATAAATGAATATCATGAGAAGCCACCTAATATTCTGGACAGTGTAGACAGGAAAGTGCTGTGGACTCTAAGAGGACAGCTTCCCAGGGTGTCAGATTCAGCCACAGAGCAGATAGACTGTCACCGTAGGGGTAGGGGCCGTGGGGGACCTTTAATGGGAGAGGTCAGAGGGGAGCTGGCCTGGGGCAGCGGTGTGGAGGCTAGACCGAAAACACGGAGTGTAACACGACTGCACAGGACAAGTCTTGCTATAGACAGTTTGGGGGACCCTCCCTCCAGCCCTGGGGACCCCATAATTCACCTTTGTGTTTTCCCACTGGGCTGCATCCCTCCTCCTGGTCCGCAGTGGAGAAGGAGGCAAGAGGAGCACCCAGGCAGACCTCACCGGGCGCCCGCTACAAGCCGGATGCATGAACATCCGAACCTTCCTAAGGACACCACTCAAAGTCGGAGCCAGGTGCCATTATACAGATGGGGAAACCGAGGCAGGAATCAGAAGGGCTGGAATTCATGCCAAGCTGAGCAGCCCCCTCTCCTTAGAGCTTCCTTCTAGAGCCTCGCATCCTCCCTGAGCTCCGTCTCTCTGTGTACTGTATTTCAAGCTTCTGGAAAGGTCTACAGGCCCTCCTCACCTTCCCTTTCCTCCTACATCAAAGTGCTGTCACCAAGGCGCACCAGGACCCCGAGTTACCAGCCCCTAGGGCATTGCTCAATCCTCTCCTGCTGCGGTGTTGCCGTGGGGAAAGTCCACCACACCCAGAACCTGCCCTTCCTGAGACCCCGACTCCCTTCTTCTCTTCCACACTCTCCTCAGACCCATGACCCAGTCCAATCATGAGGAAAACATCAGAGCAACCCATGAGGGCATTCTGCAGAGTCTCCAACCATTCTCACCCAGACGGCAAGGTCGGGGACGGGAGGATGGAGCTGGAGGACACGTGCTGGCCAAACACAGTGGGGCACCCTGGAGGGGATCCGGGCGGCAAAGGGACTTTAGCAGAATCTGTTTACAGCCTGGAGTTTACTTAATGGTGATGTAGCAATGCTGCTTTCTTAATTTTCACAAGTACACCAACGTCATGTACAACGTTAGTGTTGGGGAAACTGAGTGAGGAGCACATGGGGACTCTCCGAATTATACCTACAACTTTTCGGTAGGTTTAAAATGGTTCCAAAGTAAAATGTTTATTTAAAAAAAAGAGGCGACATCTTACTGGGCCTCCTGGTCTGGCCTCTCTGGTTCCCCAGCCTCCTCCTCCCCCAACTTACAGTTTGTTTTCCCTCCCAGAAGGTCACCAGAGGGCGCCTGCAAGCACCTGAGTCCAGTCCCTCCTCTGTCCACAGCCCTCCAGGGCTCCCACCTCCCTACAAGGCCCACAAGACCCTGCATGACCTACTCTGTCCCCTGCCTGCCCACACCTCCTCCTCTCCCCTTCACTGACTCTG